ATGCCTACTGTGAGTCGACTTGTTTGATTGTTTTTACACATAGATGGCTACACTTGTACTAAGTATCCAATGAGCCAATTATGAGTACTGCCTGTCTCGCACGTTCACCCTTTTCATCGATTTACGAAAATATTTAACGTTATCCTAATTTGCTGTTAAAAATAACACCATCTATATTTATAGCACTAGTAAAAATACGTTTTTTCCCGCCAATTCAAGGAAAGGTGAAATCAGGACTAGCAGAGCCATCTATGGACAGAGATATTTCACAAAAATATAAAAAATGAGTACTGCATTTCCCCCATTTTTTGCTCATTTTCCCCGGCGGCAATGGGTTAATATATGTTGAAGAGCACTGTTACAGACTGTGACCTTGATTTCTTAACCCAATGTCAGCGGGCTTATTTACTATCCCCTTTAGATTTTAGTGAGATTTTACAGATGGCTCATAGTGTGGTCAGCAGCAAGTCTATCAGTTGGCCCTAGTGACCGATCCTGATTTCCCCATTCCTTGAATTGGCGGGAAAATGCGTTTTTCTTTCAAGTACTATTAATATTGACATTGTTATTATTATTGATATTATGAGTATCAAATTGTTATCAAAATATTAATAACATCAAAGATAATAAAATAATAGAAATGAATCTTTCAAAAAATGAAGAAAAAGGGTAAACAGATGAGATAGGGAAGACTAATAGCTGACTCTTTGGTGACTAAGCACTTGTAGAGCCATCTATGTGTAAGGACAATATATAAAACTTTTATTACAGTAGGCATGGCATTGTAGTCTTGCCATCCACACTCATTGGGTTAAGATGAAAAATTACTTAATTTAAAAAATACTTTTCTCATTTGTTAAGAAACTTGAGCACCAAGGAATTGAATTCTTCTGAATACCGTAAATGCAGATTGTGTTTTCCCTTTTCCATTAGGATCAATCTGAAAAAAAGAAGAAAAATTTATAGTTATTTACTTTATTTACATTTCCAATTTACTTTTTAGTTTTGTGACATTTCCTTTGTTGTATTACATTTTATGCTTTAACCCATTCCCGCCGGGCATGCCATGCCATGCCCACTGTGAGATTACTTGTTGGATTGTTTTTACACATAGATGGCTACACTTGTACTAAATCACCAATGAGCCAGTTACGAGTACCGCCTGTCTCGCCCGTTCACCCTTTTCTTTGATTAACAAAATATTTTATATTATCTTATTTTGCTGTTACTAATGTTAACCCATTGCCGCCGGGGAAAATGAACAAAAAATGGGGAAAATGCTGTGCCTATTTTCTATACTTTTTTGTTAAATGTCTGCCCATAGATGGCTCTGTTAGCGCCTGATTTGAAACACGTATTTTTCACTAGTGCCATGAATATCGATGGTGTTATTTTTATCATAAACATTGTAATTTTTATAATGTTTTTTAACATTAGTAACAGCAAAATAAGATACCGTAAAATATTTCGTAAATCAAAGAAAAGGGTGAACAGGTGAGACAGGCGGTACTCGTAACTGGCTCATTGGTAATTTAGTACAAGTGTAGCCATCTATGTGTGAAAACAATCTAACAAGTAATCTCACAGTGGCCATGGCATGGCATGCCCGGCGGGAATGGGTTAAAAAACATTATAAAAAATATAATGTTTATAACAAAAATAACACAATCAATATTCATGGCACTAGTAAAAAATACGTTTTTCCCACCATTTCAAATCAGGCGCTAACAGAGCCATCTATAGGCAGACATTTAACAAAATAGTATAGAAAATAGGCACAACAAATTCCCCATTTTTTGTTCATTTTCCCCAGCGGCAATGGTTTAACTGGTTCTTGCAATCTTCCTGCATTTATTGTTACTACCTAAAATTTTGAACCTGAAAATGGTACATTTTAAAATTTGGGCTGTCCTCATGATGAGCAAAGAATGACAAAACATCAAAGTTCTATATATAGCTATTTGCTATACAACTGTGTTCGATGAATGAAATGCCAACTATAAATACTGTAAGATGTAGTTGTCACTATACTGAGCATTTGTAAACATGTAGCCAAGTGTTAGTGAAGGTGTATTACACAATATATTTCTTGCACAAACTAGTTGAATGATTTCATGCAAAACAAATATTTATCTCTTCATTACATAAATAAACCTACAACTCAAGTTTTTCCTATATATACCAAGTTGTCATTTATTTTTCCAGATTTATCTTGATAGATTATTTGCATAATAAACTAAATTATTGTAGTTATTAAAACAATGATGAATACTTAGCATAAAGATGAAGTTCACACTACATCAAATCTTTCCCTTAAAATAATCTGCAGTGTTTAAACAAGATAGAGCAACAACCAACAACAATAAGTAATTGAAACCAATAAAAGAAATAGTACTACTTACTCAGAGCCTTGGATATTTTCATGCAGATAATATGGGTGTTCAATGGGCACAACAGGATCTTGAATCCCATGTACAATAAGGGTTGGACAAACAATGTT